CATAGTACAACTTGAAATCTAATAGATGTATCAATCCTGACACTACTAGAAAACTATCTAAAACTGTCCAGAAATACCGATCAAAATCGGTCGGAAAATTGAAAAAATCGACCGATTTTCGACCGACTTTAATCAGTCGAAATTGGGCTGATCGATAATAAATAGCGATCGAAAAGAAAAAATTACAGCGTGCAACCCGCTCTCACAATATATTCACATTCAATTCTGTTGCAGCGTGCAACCCACTCTCACAATATATTCATTTTTAATCAAGTTTGTTGCGGCGTGCAACCCGATCCTCCAATATGGACTCTTAATAAGTTTGTTGCAGCGTGCAACCCGATCCTCCAATATAGACTTTTAATAAGTCTGTTGCGGCGTGCAACCCGATCCTCCAATATATTCATTATAATCAATTCTTATAGAAGGAATTTCCCCAATAAATGCAACAATTAATATAAAATTATAAGACAACAAGCATACAATAATTATGATTTATTCATGAAACAGACAATGTCAAATAGCAAATTATTATAGAAATCAGGGAGAAAATAGGCAGTTTAATATTTAATATGCTAAATGTCAAATAACAATTAAGACACATAATTCAAGTAGCATGTAACAATTAATGCAGGAATTCAAGAATTAATATTTGGCAAAGAATAGGAGAGAAACAATTATTATAATAATTAATTCATGATTTAAAACAATTTATGATTTTTCAAGTAATTATGCAAACAATTAATTTGACGACATATAGACACTCGTCACCTCGCCTATACGTCGTTCACATGCATTTCACATAACAAATAATTTAAAGGTTCTATTCCCTCAAGTCAAGGTTAACCACGATACTTACTTCGCTTTGCAAATTCCAATCAATTATTCAATCACAAATTTTTCTTTTAAATTTGCCTTCGAAAGCTTCAAATCTATTCACAAACAGTTCGATATATTCAATACGAATCATAGGAATTAATTCCATATGAATTTACAAATTTTTTGGATAAAAATCCGAAATTCATTAAAATATTCGGCAGTGGGACCCACATCTCAAATTCCGGAAAAACTCACGAAATTCGAACACCCGTTCCGATACGATTTCAACCATACAAAATTTGTCCGATTCCGATATCAATTGGACCTTCAAATCTTAATTTTTCGCTTTTGGAAAATTTTACAAAAATTCCAATTTCTTCCATCTAAATCCGAAATAAATGAGAAATATAGGCTTAGATTTATGAAATACAATCACAATATGATAAAGAACACTTACCCAATTCGAAATCGTGAAAAACTCCTTTGAAATCTCCCCTAAGCCGAGTTATAATTGAGGGTTTGTGAAAAATAGAAAAAATCCCGTTTTGGTTCTGTTTTAAGTCACAGGGGTCAGGCCTTCTTCGCGTTCGCGAAGGGCCTGTCGCGTTCGTGATGAGTAGCAGCCTGTGGCTTTTGCGTTCGCGAGTCCTCCTTCGCGTTCGCGAAGGCTCCCCCCCGGCCTTCGCGTTCGCCAGGCATAGCTCACGTTCGCGATGAAGGAATGATCAACCCTCCCCCAGGTGTTCCTAACACTACGCGTTCGCGAGGAGCTGATCGCGTTCGCGAAGGGTAATGCCCCCATCGCTTCGCGTTCGCGACCAAGCCTTCACGTTCGCGAAGAAGAAAACTTCAGTTGCCCAGTTTACTCTTTGCGTTCGCGAGAGTACCTTCGCGAACGCGAAGAAGGACATGCCAGAACACTTGTTGCAGCAAAATACCAGATTTTCAAAGTCCAAAACATCCCGTAGCCTATCCGAAACTCACCCGAGCCCTCGGGGCTCCAAACCAAACATGCACACAAGTCCTAAAACATCATACAAACTTGCTCGCGCGATCAAATCGCCATAACACCTGGAACTACGAATCGGACACCAAATCAAAGAAAGTTTTCAAGAAAACTTTAAAACTTATATTTTTACAATCGGACGTCCGAATCACGTCAAATCAACTCTGATTCTCACCAAATTCAGCAGACAAGTCATAAATATTATAGTGGACCTATACCGGGCTCCGAAACTAAAATACGGACCCGAGGTCAATAAATCCAACATCAGTAATTTCTTAGAAATCATTAACCTTTCAAGCTTTTAATTTTTCATCAAAATTTCATATCTCGGGCTAGGGACCTCGGAATTTGATTCCGGACATACGCCCAAGTCCCAAATCACGATACGGACCTATCAGAATTGTCAAAACACCGATCCGGGTCCGTTTGCTCAAAATGTTGACCAAAATCATCTTAGTTGAGTTTTAAAGCTCTAATTCACATTTTAATTCATTTTTCACGTAAAACACTTTTCGGAAAATTATACGGACTGTGCACGCAAGTCGAAGAATGAGAAATGGTGCTTTTCGAGGTCTTAAAAAATATAATTACTTATTAAATTTAAAGATGACATTTTGGGTCATCACATTTGATTTAGCTATGAATATTGTTGTTTAACGTTGACTTAACCTTAATTATAATTCACTAATATATGATTATTTCTTCAATTCTATAATTAATTACTTAATTGTTTGGCCAGCAGTTAGATTTTATTTACTATCTATGTTCTGCTTGGGNTGTGGTTAGGATAGGAATATACCTAGTCACCGTGCTTAATTAAATATCGTAATCTTAATGCATTGTTGATAGATTGATTCTATAGGAATATAGGCGTTAATCTATTTTGAATAGGCGAGTAGTACTTCAGGAGAAGGCTATGAAAGCAATTATCGATTAATTAGAAACCATGAGTGAATTGTATGAAAGGGATAGTTAACTAGAACACAATAAGAATGGTGAATCAATCACAACCCTGGAATATTTGTCTCTACTGAATACACAACAACCATTTTACTACTTAATAATTTAGTTACTGCTTAGAATTATAGCTTAGTATAATCACATTCTTGAACTCAAATTTGGCTTGACTGAATAACAATCTTGGTGACTTTAGTGGGTAGTTGATACAAGTCTCTGTAGGTTCGATACTCGACTTATCATTTTATTACTTGTACGATCACGTATACTAGCATGTGCGTTTAGGAGCAACAAGTTTTTGGCGTCGTTGCCGGGGACTTGAATATTGACTACTTTCTAGTTTTTGCTTTCATTATTTATTTCGTCAAGTCTAACGTTACTTGATTGTTGCTCTGATCTCAGGAACTTTGATTGAATGCGCAGAGTCAGAAGCCAGGACCGACCTCAAGGCTTTGACCCCGAACCTAAGAGAACATTTCATAGGAGGTTGAGGGAAGTAAAGGACACGAATAATATTTAGGCACTCGTTCAATTTCATGTGAACATAGCAGAGGAACATATGGTTGTTCAGGAGGTGGCAATGCCAGCATTGCTAATGTCACCTCCAACATAGTGAAGCCCAGAATCACTGGGCACTTTGAGCTAAAACAGAGCATGATCCAGCTACTTCATGCGAATGGGCAGTTTATGGGTCTTCCACATGAGGATCCACAATAGCATATCCTGAACTTCTTGGAGATTAATGATACTTATATCAATAACGGGGTCACTCCAGACTATGTGAGGCTCATACTTTTTCCATTCTCTCTGTTGGGCGAAGAAAAGCGATGGCTGGAGGCAGAACCAACTAATTCTATTACATCATGGAATGATGTGGCAAGGAAATTTCTGGCAAGGTTCTTCCCTTCAGGTAAAACTGCAAAGATCAGAAGTGAGATAGTTGCCTTCAAACAGAAAGTGGGAGAGTCTTTATACTCAGCTTGGGAGAGGTTAAAGGGGCTACTCAGAGACTGTCCTCATCACAATCAGACAAACGAAGTATTAGCTCACACTTTTATAGAAGGGCTCCATCCTGAAACAAAAATTGTGGTAGATGTTGTAGCTGGAGGTCAAGTGTTGGAGAAAAGCTTTGGCAAGATATATGAATTATTGAACAAATTCTCCAAAAGCAAGAGGATTGGCAAGGAGAAATGGGAAGACACACGGTACAAAAATCTGCGGGGGTTCTCGAGTTAGATATCGTCTCGGCATTATCAGCGCAGATTTCTATACTAACCAACCAAGCCAATCAGATGACCATGGTTATTAACAAGCAACAAGCTCAACCAGTGCAGCATGTTCAAATGTTTTGTGAAGTATGTAGAGAGGGTCACACAAGCGACTTATGCCAAGTTAATCCAGAGTCTATCTACTTTGTGGGTTATGCAAATAGGGGCCAGACAAATCAATATGGGAACACTTACAATCCCAACTGGAGGAACTACCCAAACTTCTCTTGGGGTGAAAATCGAGGTGCTCAAAATCAATACCAACCACAAGCACCTCAACAACAATGTAGACCACCTAAGGACGAACAACATGCAAACTCAACAAGTCACCTTGAGGAAATGATGAAGAAATTGATGGTTGATCAGCAAGCCCAAGCAACATCAATGAGAAATTTGGAGCGCCAAGTGGGACAACTTGCCAATGCCCAAAATACTAGACCAGTTGGAGCTCTTCCAAGTGACACTGGAGCTAATCCTAAGGCATCCATTAATGTCGTGTCATTGAGGAATGAGAGACAATTAGAAGATGTAACGACCCGGCCGGTCGTTTCGAGAGTTATAGCCCCATTTCCCGGTCAGTATTAGTATTTTTAATTATACAATTAAAATATGCACAGTTTGGAAATCGAACCAGGGTCTGTACGGTAGTAAGATACTATTCTACCACTAGACCATTGGTACAAACGGCGGTACAAATTTAGCACGACAAGGAATCAAAGAAGTATAATTTTTCCTAACAGTTCCATAGCCTCCCGAAGATAAGTACAGACATCTCCGCACTGATCCGCGAGATTCTAATAAAATTGCTTGTGACTCACGACACCTATGAACCTAGAGCTCTCATACCAACTTGTCATGACCCAAACTCCCTCCGTATAACGTCGTGACAACACCTAGTCTCTACGACTAGGTAAGCCTAACAAATTGCGGAAATATAACAAAAACGAAAGTAAAACTTGACAACTAACAACAGTGGATAACTAAATAACTAATAACAATACCGCTCGGCATGTGCAATAACCAATACTATCTAATACACAGTCTTCCCAAAATCCAGAACATCGTAAGTCACAAGCTACAGAAGGAAACTAGTATCTCTATACACCAAAGTCTAACAAAAGAAGTACGGAAGGTAAATGACATAGGAGAGAATAGAGGGGGACTTCGAGGTCTGCGGACGCGTCAAATGTACCTTGAAGTATCCGTACAAAAGCAAGCACTCTCAACTATTAGCGGGGCTGATAAGGAGCACATGGATCTGCACACAAAAATATGTGCAGAAGAGTAGCATGAGTACACCACAACGGTACCCAATAAGTGCCAAGCCTAACCTCGGTAGAGTAGTGACGAGGTCAGGTCAGGCCCACTGGTATATAATAAATAAAGCAGGAAATTATAACAGTATAATAAAAGACTGGAATTTAACAAAAAGAAAACACAACGATATAACAATGCAACACACATGGATAAACAACAGGGGATCTCCCGAGATACCGTCTCGTAGTCCCAAAATAAATGTGCAGGGAGAACTCCCAAGGTACCGCCTCGTAGTCTCAAAAGTAAATATACATGGATAACTCCCGAGGAACTGCCTTGTAGTCTCAAAAGTAAATATATATGGAGAACTTCCAAGGAACCGCCTCGTAATCTCAAAAGTAAATGTGCAGGGAGAACTCCCGAGGAACCGCCTCGTAGTCTCAAAAATAAATATGCAGGGAGAACTCCCGAGGAATCGCCTCGTAGACTCAAAAGTAAACACACAGCTCAATCGATAAATACCATAGTTAACAGCAAGAATTCTACAGTTAAGACTGATAAAGAACAAGGAAAAATAGAAAATCAACTAGGCATGCTTCAGAGAGTTTAAATGAGCAGTTAAAACACGTAGGCATGCGATATTAGGCTAATCAGGATAACTACGCATGTTGGAATAGCTCAATTAAGAATGAAAAAAGACTAATACTCATTTAAAAGGTATAACTCAAATTAAAGGAAAAATATGTTACTACTCAGTAAAATAAATTGGTTTTTTTCAACAAATAGCCCATGTACGTACTCGTCACCTCACGTACATGACGCTCACATATCACGAAAATACCAAATCCTAAGGGGATTTCTCCCACACAAGGTTAGGCAAGCTGCTTATCTCAAACCAAGATCAATCAATCGGTAACAATGCCTTTTACACGAATATCCGACCCCGAATGACCCAAAACTTAATTAAAATAATTACATATTATAAATACAACTATAATAGACTAGTCTAATTAATAAAATCAAGACTTTAACAAAAACTCCGAAATCCGTCCTACAAAGTCGATCCGGGCCCACATCTCGGAATCGGGTAAAAGTCACAAAATACGAATACCCATTCACTCACGAGTCTAACCATATAAGAATTACTCGAATCCGACCTCAAATCACCATCCAAAACTCGAAATTTTAGTCTATAAAGTTTCTACCATTTCCCCCTAAATTGCCAACTCAAAACCCTAATTAGATGATGAAAATAGCAATAGATTCATGAAAAATAGTCCAATCCGAGTTAGAACCACTTACCCCAACAATCTCCTTGAAGAAATCTCGAAATATCGCCTCACACCGAGCTCTCAAACTCCCAAAACTCACCCGAGTCCCCCGGGACCTCAATCAAACATACCAACCAATCCTAAAATACCACACGAACATAGTCGAGCCCTCAAACCACATCAAACAACGCTAAAATCACGAATCATCCTCCAATTCAAATTTAAAGAACTTGAAACTTCCAAATCCGACAACCGATGCCGAAACCAACCAAACCACGTCCGATTGACCCCAAATTTTGCACACATGTCATATTCAACCCTACGGACCTAATCCAACTTCCGGAATTGGAATCCGACCCCGATATTAAAAAGTCCACTACCGGTCAAAATCTCCAAAAAATAGACTTTCGCCATTTCAAGCCTAAATCAGCTACCAACCTCCAAAACACAATCCGGACACTCCCCTAAGTCCAAAATCACCCAACGGAGCTAACAGAATAGACGAAAACCTATTCTGGAGTCGTCTTCTTACAGTTCCGCCTATGGTCAAAATCCTAAGACTTAAGCTTCCGTTTTAGGGACTAAGTGTCCCAACTCACTCCGAAACAAAAAACAAGACCTCTCGGCAAGTCACATAAGCAGAAAAGATACGGGGAAAGCAGTTAATAGGGGATCGGGGCTATTACTCTCAAAACAACCGGCCGAGTCGTTACAACCTCTCCCTTTTAAAAGGACACAATTTTCAGTTCGATTATGTTTCGCCATGACAATAAACAAAGCTCAAGGTCAAACATTAGATTTTGTGGGTATCTATTTGTGCGAACCTGTCTTTTCTCATGGTCAATTGTATGTTGCTTTATCAAGAGCCAAAAGTTCTAATTGTGTGAAGGTATTTATTAGACCACCTACAGCTGGCGACGATGATGACCACTCTACCTATAATATAGTCTATGATGAAATTATTAAATACTACTATAATCTTTTTGTTCATCGTTTCTACCCCAATCTCCCAACTACATTTTACGCATAGCAAACCTTCCGAAACTCTACCTCTTTCTCTACTAAAGACATCAGCCACGGATTCCAATTATGAAATTTGGAAATTAGAAGAAAGTGGGCAAAAATTGAGACAAATCATACCTAAAATTAGAACAACCGAGCTGAGAAGATGTAAAGAACTAGAAAAAAAAGTAGTCTTTGAAAATCTGAAGAAAAATAAAGAGATCATGCATAAGGAGCATTTTAATAATGAAATAGAGAAATAAAAGGAAGGAGATAACGGATGAACAAGAACATAAAAGAAAAACAACAATGAATTTCAGCCATGAAATTGAGAAATTTGAAAAGAATTGGAAGAAGATTAAATCAAAAATTGAGAAAAAAACTTACCTGAAATTGAAAGACGAGGAAGAGAAATCAAATGAAACAACCAAGGGTTTCTTGTTCTCATAAGAGAAATTCTTCTAGAATTGTGTGGGCATGTGCCCAACCAGATTACTACTCCTATTAGAGATTTGCCCTTGATCAACCAATAGAAATAGGAAAAATAAAATAAAATGTCAAGGTAAAATTACAATTTTGCCCTTGGTTGACCAACTTTTCTTTTCTATATAATAGAATTCTTTTATCCAAAATAAAATAAAACTTGTTAACTCTCGTTGCTGCTATTTTTTCCACAGAAGTTTGTGACTTTTCACGTACATACACTTACATTAGAATTCAACGTTAATGAATTCAGGCTCTTTTTATAAAAGTGAGTGATTATTTAAAATTATGCGATTAAAACATAATTTACTTTGTTTTTACTTATAAATTTATAGTTTTTGAACTTAACAGAATGGATTCATTTGAACTCCACTTAGTATTCTAAGGGTCGTTTGGTTGGGAAATAAGTTATCCCAAGATTAATTATTTCGGGATTAGTTATCTCATGATTGTTATCCCATCCTCATAAGGATAAAAATAACATTATAATCTCGGGATAACTAATCTCAGGAGTATACTGTAATTTATCCTAACCAAACGTAGGATAAACTCATCTTAAATTTAATCCGAAAATTAATTATCTCTTATCCCTCGTACCAAATGATCCCGAAATTTATCGGGGCTTAAGATTGCTTATGGTTAACCAAACTAGCTAGGTGCATAAATTGTGTCCATTAATTGTTGACAACATAGTTCAACATGTATTATTAGCATATTAATTGTAGGAGAGAAAATTCACTCTAATTATGCATATTAATTGTTAGGAGAAACAATTCATTTCCACTTTAGCTTTCTAATAAGGAAATGTAATACGTTCAATTTTTAATCATCCCCCCAAAATTCATAACTAGACAAACACTTTTATCAAAATCTACTCTCGATCGATTGAAGTTTCTAATTGAAGCATGCACGTAAACATTATTTGGTTTATAGTAAAGATATGGAAATTTAGTTAACCTTTTAGTGGGAAACTAACAATTTAATTGAAATATAGATTAGGAAACTATGAGAATCAGAAATATGATTTTCATTGACAACTTCTAGTGTTTGAAACTTCAATTAGTAGACAAAAAACGCGTACTACTTGTTAGGCGTCAACTAGAACTTAGAAGGCAAGAAGTAAACTTACTACAAACAACAAGAAATTCAACGAAATAATTAATTCTTTAGTTAATAAAGAAATAAAATTAAATAAAATTAATGACAGAAGCAAACGCGTGGGCTCCACTAAAAGATCCTTCCATTCTATTCGTGCACACCAAATTCAGAGAATTCGTCAAAATTTAGGAGGGCATATACTACCTTATAAGCTGAAAATTAAAAAAATGAAAGAAGATTAATAATATCCAAAATAAAAGAACAACTAAGAAGGTGACAAAGAATTCTAAGTTCAAACCGCATTTTCCTCCTATTCCTCCTCCTAACTTCCCTATATAAATTCAATAAACCCCTCTATTCATCTCAAGAACCCCATAGTTCCTAACTCCATTTTTTTTCCTCGAGTTCAAAAAGCAAAAAAGGAAATTTCCCAAAAGGGAAGAAATAAAATTAGAAATGTCCTCCACTATGAAATACTCCATAATTGTTTTCTTTGCTAGCGCCCTTTTCCTCCAAGGCACTTTGGGTACGTATTGTATATATCCAATCTAATCTTCTTCCCTATTTCATGCACACAATATATTTCCATCATAGTTTGTTTAATTTTCTTTTGAATATGTAGAATGCATGTTTTCATTTGCAATATCCAGAGTAGTTTTTCATCTCACGATCAGGGGCAGAGCGACATGATCTGGAGGGTTTTAATTGAATGAAAAATTATACTGCACAAATAGTAGGGTTATAATAAATTGTTCCTCGACTTAAGACAATCTTCTAGTGTAATGACATAGATGGTTCAAGAATTACTTTAAGTCACAACTTTTAATCATATATTTTTGTACTTTTTAAAATCCTCTTTAGAATTTCTGACTCCACCTGTGTCCACGACGTGTAAATTTAATTTTTTTTTGGGGTATGTGTAAATTTAATCTCAGGGAATTTCATTTGTGAGGATTTGCCAACAAATGTGTGTGGTTTTGCGATCGCGACATCAGGGAAGAGGTGTTTGTTGGAGAATTCAGCAGGGGAAGATGGGAAGGTGGAGTATCTATGTAAGACATCTGAGGTTGTTGTTGGAAACATGAAAGAACACATTGAGACACATGAATGTGTTGATGCTTGTGGAGTTGACAGGAACTCTGTTGGGATTTCTTCTGATGCTTTGCTTGATTCTCTATTCACTTCTAAACTCTGCTCCTCTGCTTGTTACCAAAAATGTGCTAACATTGTTGACCTTTACTTCAACTTAGCTGCTGGAGAAGGTAACAACATTAGCATTTTCCCTCTTCCTTTATTTTCTTTCTGTGATATATAGGCACCACATAGTTGAGTTATTTTTTGATCCCCTGCATTAGTATTTCTGGTTTAGTAATTGTTAGAATGCGATAATCTAAATATATTAGATATATAGCGCGTGAATTATAAACGGAGAACTTACTTGTTCTTCATAGGAAAAGAGGAAGATTGAACTGCGGCCGGTGGTGGTTGTCACGATGTATTGAATCAACCCCTATTCGACAGTCTAAACCCTAATGTTATTAACAGAGAAGATCGATGTATTCAGTATATTTAGTTGTACACCGTATGTTTACTTGTATAAACCCAGCTAGGGTTAAAGTAAAGTTGTTCACCGTATATAATGCATTTCTGGTTTAGTAATTGTTAGAATCCGATAATCTAAACATATTAAATAGCGTGTAAATTATAAACGGAGAACTTAGAGAAGAGTGCAGGAAAATATTTTATTCAGTATATTTTATTGTACATTGTATGTGTACTTATTTTGGAACTCTGAACAAACTGTCGGTGATAAGCCAAAGGAAAGTGAGGATGACGTCAAGTCATCATGCCCCTTATGCCCTAGGCGACACACATGCTACAATGGCCGGGATAAAGGGTTGCGACCCTGCGAGGGTGAGCTAACCCCAAAAACCTGTCCTCAGTTATGATTGCAGGCTATAACTTGCTTGCATGAAGCCGGAATCACTAGTAATCACTGGTCTAGGGTTATAGTAATAACTAAAGTTACTGGGCTTTACCGTAGTGGGCTTTAAGAGCACCCTTATGAGTGGACTTTATTTCCGACAGTAATGTTATTGCGTATGTTGGAAATGTGCAGGAGTGTATTTGCCAGATTTATGCAACAAGCAGAGGACCAGCCCACACCGTGCTATGATTGAGCTCTCAAGCAACGGAGCTGCACTCGAAGATGTAGCTGATGCTCCAGCTCCTTCCCCTATTTCTTTCTAATTTACTTATACTTTTGAAAAATTAATACTACAACATATACTGCATACAATTCTTTTGTTTCCTTTAAATACAAGTATTATCATTAATGTTGTATTTTTCTACAATGAATGAGGGATGTAGGGGAATTTTGGTTTGTTTCTAATTCCCTTGGATTTGTTGAAAATTGTTCCGTGAAATTCTTTTTCCAACAGAACTTGAATGAGATATTCTTCTATTTGGATTGCACTAATTATCTCTTGTTTCAAGTTCTTTGTCTTGACAAAATGAGAGGAAGTACTTGTAAAGTTTGTGGTATTAAAATTACCATATTAGTACTAATTTTAGTGCCAATAGGAAGCCGAAAACGAAAGGAAAAGGGAATTAAACAACCAAATCTAATACAAGACAAACAATAAAAAATCCTATTGTTGTCATGTCTCCTCTTCTATATATACAACATTGTTTACCCTCGTAATCGGATAACGATTGAAGTTGTTAGTGATTTAAAGGATATGCAGATTAACTTGATACAAAGCGATAAATTAGATTGCAATTGAAATAAATAACGATATATTAACTGCAAACCACATGAATTGGATGATTTCAGCTTAGGAAAGCAAGCCACCCTTGAGTTGAATGCACTTTTATTGACACAAAGATACCAAAGAGTAAGAACTCAGAGAATGTATTGCTTATCAGTGTATGTTACCCTTCTTTCATGAATTGTGAGACCCCCTCTATATATTAGAGGAACCTACTTTTTAGGTATTATTCTATTATACTATAAAAGGTAACAATGTCCTTGATTTGTTGACCGTTAGTTTCTTTTTTGGTATATTTCGTGATTTCCGGCATAATGTCCGGTTAATTACAGGAATTTCGGATAAGCTGGCAATATATTCCTTGAGACCGTTATGACCAGGCCCGGTTATGACTTCGGTAAACTCGAGGGCAAATCTGGTGGTGTTGATGACTAATTTTAGCAATGCTTTGGGTCCGATCTTAATTACCATATTTCGATCTTGGCTGATTATGTCGGATGTAAGATCGAACTTCGAGCTCGACTTTTAGCCGATTACGGATATTTTGACCTTGGCCTTAATTAGGGAGGTTGGAAGCTCGATCGAACATCGAGCCCGGTTTTACCCGTATACACATAATCCTCTTATTTTTCCGAGAGTAGATGACGAGAAACGATATGAGCCTCCGAATCTCACTTCGATATATCATGACGTAAGTGACAAAATCATGACATAAAATCCTCTTGTTTTTCGGAGAGTAAATGATGAGAAACGATACGAGCTTCCGATTCTCACTTCGATAAATCATGACGACAAAACCATGACGTAAGTGATAAGAATAGTTGAAACGTCCCATCGGTCCAGTTACATCCCGTCGGTCCAATTTTTAAGGCATTAAATGCATGTCAGTTAACGGTCGGCCACTTCAGGATGCGAACCGCCATTTGAGAAAACTATAAATACCCTTTCATTTATTCATTTAGAACTTTTACATTCAAACTTTTGCTCTTGTGCTTTAAGAAAACCTCATCACTCTCATCTTCTGATTTTCTAAAATCTTACATAAGTTGTCTGCTAATCACACCTCCTCTTTTATCAGCACTTTTTTTTCTCCACTATTTAGAAGCAATGGCAAAGACTTCAAAATCCGTTCCTCAAA